CGCCACCCAACCTCTTAGCACTCGACCCACTTTAATTGCTCCATGCTTCTTGAAATACTTCCTTGCTTGTCCTCTGTGTCGCCATGTTCTCCCGGAAAAGCTCCTCAGCCTGCTGTGCTAGAGATTCCCCATTGGCTACACACCAGAGTGCTCCCTGGCTCAGTCCCTAAACTTCTTCTCTACTGACACATCAGTCCTGAGTCTGTACAATTCATATAAATGCTAATGACTCCCATTTTGATAAATAGAATGAGCTACACACATGGATGTCCCATAGGTATCCCAAGCCTAACATTTCTAAAATTTAACATGTCCTGAATTTTCTGCAAACATCTGCTCACTCCCCCAATCTTCTCCATCTCAGGAAATTGCAACTTTGTTCACCCAGTGGCTCAACACAAAACCCCTGTCAGCATGCTTAACTCCCTAATTTTCCACCACATCTTTCATGCAGTCCTTCAGAAAATCTTATCAGTACCTTCAAAACACCCCTGCAATCCCATCATGTCTCACTATCTCCAGTCCCACCACTGCAGCCCAAACCACTTTCATTTAATACCTTCAATATTGCAAAAGTGGTGTAGCTCGCCTGGTTCTTTCCCTCTTTGCTCACCAGCATCCATTCTCCAAATAGCAGTCATTTTTTAAAGTACATGCCATTTGTCTCTCTCTTGCTTAAAACCTGACGTGCTTTTCTCGGCATCTCGGAGAGATCCAACCGTCTTGCCCTAGTCTACAGGGCTATTAAACAAAATGTCTTCCTCTGTGCCTTCATCATCTGCTACTCTTCCTGTGTCTCTCCAAGCTCCCACATCTCAGATTTCTTTCTGACCCTCAAACACACATTCTCCTCGAGACCCCCTAAAATCTAACTCTGATGTCAAAACTACATCCTGCCTGGATCCAAGAGCACTTCCTACTGTGAGACAGACACAGGGAAGACACCATCCATAAGCACTGAGAAGCAGCAGACCTCTGGGTAGGCAGCTGCAGTGGGATAAACACAGGGAAAGCCTGGGGTAAACTTTCACATTTCTTTTTGTTGTTGTTTATCAATCCTCTTGGGAGGATATTGTTTGCCTTGATATTTAAAGAGAGTGGAAGGGCTGGAGGGAGGGAGAGAGAGAGAAACATTTATGTGAGAGGGACACATCCATAGGTTTCCTCCCACTAGGTCCACAACTGGGACCGGGGTTTGAACCTGGAACCCAGGTACATGCCCTTGGCCAGGATTGGAACCCTTGATACTTTGGTTATGCAG